GTGGAATCATTGTCGATATGTTATTTCGCCTTAGATTCTGGACTGGACTAAACAGGGGGGGGGGGGGGGGGGGGCGGGAATTCGCGACCACGACCAGGCAATGTTTGCAAGTGCGCATCCTTATTGGTCAAGCTTTTTGACATGCCAAGCAAGAATGACCTGCAGGTCGCTTGGATGAAGATCCTTTTGCGGGAGGGAAAATTTGATGCCGTGAAGACAATGGATTCCGTTTGCAAGGCCCTCTTGGATTCCCAGGCATCTTCTTTCCTTCGTGCTATGACCGTGATGCTTTCGTTGCAAGAGGGAAAGGCAGCGGAGACCCTGGATGTTCAAACACAAGCTGGCCGCAAAGAGGCAATCATGCAGTATGCGCAAATTGCCACCTTCAACCTGCAAGAGATCCCTTCCGATGTGAATGGATTGGGTGATTGCGCCAAATTGATCGAGACTGTGGTCAAAGCGGCAGAGGACGCATTAGGTGTGATCGCCGACGGATTGTCTGCAGAGAAGGAGCAAGTTCAAGCCACATACAAGAAATATCAGCCTATCGTGCAGGGCGTGATGGACTGGGATGAGGCCAAGCCTTCGATTGCTAAATTGTGATTCAGCAAAAGCGGCGTGCTACTACTACTAGCCTAGCCTAGCCTAGCTACTACTAGCTACTACTAGCTAACTTAGGTAACTTTAATTAAATTGAAAGCTGTGTTGATTCAGCGCGGCGAGGAAATCATCAAAAAGACAGTCGATCCTGGTCAGTCAGATGACGAGGCAAAGAAGGTAGGGCAGTTGCTCAAAGACCGCACCAAGCTTAGCTCTTTGCAATCCAAAAAACTCGTCAAATGCCACTTGTCACTTGCCACCGTTTTTTTTCAGGCATCCCGGTGATGGATGAGCTGGAGGAAAGCTTCAAAATTGCGAAGTCATTCGATTCAGAGTTCAAGTCCAAGACCAGGGGACAGCAAAAGGTGAGCGAGCTCTACGAGAAGCTTTGCGGCATTGTGAGTCAGGAGCCTACCTCAAGAGATGTCGCCTTGGTTTTTGCGCTCTTACTCGGATCAGATGTGTGGGAGAACTACGCACACCCTCCAACAACTCCAGACCCAAATGCGCCTACAGTCAGTCAATTTTACAAGTTCTGTCAAACAGAGCTGCGTTTGCCAAAGAAGAATCTACCAAAACAATTGGTAGACCGCCTTGACAAGCTTCAGAAGGACCGGTTTTTTGTTTATTTCTTTTCATATTAAGAAATTAATACATTACACTACACTATAGTTTTTATGTACGGGCTGTTGTTTTGTTTTTTACTTTATTTTTTTTACATTGACGTCCGCAGGAAAAGTCTGCGACGCAGATGCCCCCGCCCAAGCAGGTTCCGGCAAAAGGCCGGCGAAGCAACAAATCCCAGTAGCCGGTATCCGGTAGCCTGGTGCAATGATTGCAGCTAGAGTTTGCGCCTTCGGTGTTTTTAGTATTTAGTGAGAGTCGGACGAACCAATGCAGCAAACCAAACTCTGTTTGTCTTTTTGGTGGATTATTGCACTGATCACTGATCTGATCTAATCGCGCAAGCCGTCTTGCTGCCGCAAAGCCTCACTCAGCTCATACAGTGGAGTGGTACTGCAAGCGTTACAAGTTGAATCTTGTAAAGCTGCGCTTGGGGGTTGGCTACAGTGCCGTGCTCCAATTTGCCTTTGTTGAGTGATGTGCGTACCAAAGTCAAGAGGGCGTGGGGCAAAAGCAACCTACGCACAGAGAGACAGACAGAGAGAGAGAGAGGACGGCTGCTGTGTTTTTTGTTTTCCCTTCTTCTTCCGCTTGCAAACAAACGCAATATGCAAACCTGGCAGGAGTATCCCGATCCCAGCAGCTACCAATCCTTGACCCCAACGCAGGTATTTGAGATTCAGAAGGAATTGTCCGTGTTGGGCCTCGACCAGCTTGCAACAAATGTTGCAACAAATGACGGCGAATTCGGAAGGCCAGCTTTTCTTTGTGGATAGCAACCCCGTAAACAAAGAAACATGTCATTTTGTGACTTTCTTTGTTCAGGCATTCGCTGTGGGCACAATCACAATGGTCTGAGTGGAAACGCTCCATCCGTCCCAGAGAGGAAGCAGTCATTAATTTGCGGTATTGGAACGCAACCAGCACAGGTGTTGATCTGGAGAAGTTGTTGGTGGACTGTGTGAAGAGCTACAATAGAGGGGCAATCAATGCGTCTGGTTTTTTACCATCGCGCCGACCTAAGTCTGTCTAGTATGACTCAGGACTCATGACTCGCGCGAAACGAAAGTAATGTAATGGCCTCATCTTTTTTGGGCGTCTGTTCTTTGGGCTCGTCTTCATAAGTTAGTTCTTCGGTTATGTTCTTTTTTGTACGTTCGTACTGGGTTGCAACAGAAATTTAGTTTTGATAGTTTTGTTTTGTTTGTTTGCCTGACGATGACAATAGTGATAGGGACTCGTACACTGTAGCACTTGCCTTGAGGTTGACGACCAATAGCCGAATCTACTCATACAAACGTGGCCGGTTGCTTCACGGCTATGAGCTTCTGGCTATGTCAGCAACCTAGACCCACAGTCCGATATCTTAGAGCCTACTTACATCAAAGTTTTGCTTCTGCGCAGGCACGGCTTCTCTCTCGACAAGTTGAACTTTGCAGGATTTACCAGGCCTTCGTTCTGGAGCCTTTTGGCAGGCCTGTAGCACACTCTGTGTGTGTGTCTTCTTGGTGTGTGTGTGTGTGAGCGCGTGGCTTTTCTTGGGCAGGAAACGCGATGTCCATGCCAGTGATTGGGAGCGTCCTCGCCAGCGTGCTTTTGCACGGTGACCTGGGTGACGGCCGTAAGCATTTCCGTGTTGGACTCATTCCAACTCCAACCACCTCAAGCCAGGCAACGACCCTGATCTTGGGTCAGGGTATGAGTCAGAGTGAATCATGCAGTTCGGGATCGGATTCTGACGAATCTGATGAGAACACCAATGCCGATGCCAAGTTGTGAACCCAGTGTTCTGTGTTGTTTGTTTTCCAGTGACAGCGTTGGCGATCGGTATCGGAGAGTGACCAAGACCAAAACTTAGGCAGGATGAAAATTGTGCACTCACGTTACTTTCTGTGTGTTTTTGAGTCATGTATATTATATAATGAATGGCCTGGCCCTATTGCAGCGCCGATGGGTTCCAAATTGTCCGATTCCAACCGCAGGAGGACTATCTTAATGCGGGTGATCTGATTTGATCTTGATGCGCGTGAAGCTGCCTTATGTTTCATGTTTTCCAACGCAAGCACCACCAGCGTGTTTTGCGCAAGGTTGTGTAGAGACGACCACAGACCAAAGAAACATCGACGGCAAACAGAAAGCTTTGTGAACCATCGAGCAACTTTCACAAAACTCGTAACATGACAAATAACGACCTGGACTCATCACAGTAGTTCAAAGCTGCCACTGTTCGCTTGCAATGCTGCAGTAGTGACATCTTGTCCAAGGGGGGTAGTTAGTTTCGTTCAATTCCGCTGCGTCCGCAAGTCCGCACCGCCCGTATTATGACAGAATCCGGTGGCTTAATTGAGTGGTTGCCATGGATGCTCCTAGTGATGCTCCTATGCGTGTTGCTTCTATGTTTTTTGGTGCTGGCCTGGCACATACGGCAGATGAAATCAATGCTAGCGCTTCCTCCCACTTCGCCTTCACCACAACTGATGCAACACACTGTGACTCCGACTCCGAGACCAGTAGTCCACGTGATGCACACGGCTGGCGACCCTGTTTCCAGCTCGTCCGATTGGGAAATGCCTAGCCCAAATGGAAACCACACTCGTATGGTTCGTGTGCGCAAAAAGGATCGTACACGATCAGAGTCGTGAAAATGATATGGGCCAGGGCGGCCAGGGTATGAACCTGGATGATTTGGAATTTACACCACCATTTCATCGCCGTTCATCTATTTTGACGGAATGAGATTGGCCACTGGCCTCCACAAGAGAGTGTCAAGCTGTGTCTTCGGATAGCACTGCAGGGAGGAAAAGAACAACCCCCTACCATTTGGCTGAGTGACTTTTCAAGCTTTTCTAAAGCCCTAAAACATCATGAACGCAAGATTTTATCGCCCAAAAGGCGACTCATCATAGACGTTATCATAAAAGCATAGTTCTTTTCAGAATTGGCAATAATTTTATCAATTTTTTCCTCAAACCCTGCCGGAGGTCTTGCCAGGGGGTAAAACCAGCAAAACCTTAACGTTTTATCACTTACAGGGATTGATCAATATATATATATATAATATATATATAATATATATATATATATTGTTGATATATTTAGTTTATATATGTATATACAGTAATACAGTATATATGTTTTTATCTTTGGGTGCACTAACTGATTGCCTGCGCTGACTTTTGTATGTTATGTTGTCCGAAGTATCCTGGTTTGACAGTTACTTAGAACTGGCAGGCAGAAAGGTCGGAGTCAGAGCCTGGCCAAGAGGCAGGGAGACGGCGACTGCCGCTGCCGTTGCTAGTCGTTTGGGGTGGCTACGTGCCTTTGCAAAAGCTCTTCCTGTCACATTTTTTAGGTTCCTGGAAAGTCTCAACATGTCGGCAGGCAGAGAGGGCGGGAGATTTTGAGCCAGCGGACCAGGAGGCTGAAAGACATACCTAGGAAAGTAAATTTGCAGAGCCTGATATGCTGTATTTCCGGAGGTGTGGTCATTCAGTCACACACTTTAGGCACAGCACTTCGCAGCGTCACTCCATATTTTGTACTTGGTAGGTAACATGGTGTCTCAGGTCTTCACACCAGCTGTGTGTATTGTAGAGCAACCTGCTACTAAGTCGGGTCAAGGACACGTCACAGCTACTTGGCCGAGGGATGTGTTCATGTTTCTATTGCAATTGCTCCGTCAAGCATTCAACGATGCTTGTCATAGCTTTAGATTGGCGAGTATAAGAATATCTCTGCAGGTGTCAGAGCCTGGGCAGTCTGAAAGTTCAGCGGACATGGTTTGGCACCCAGGTTTTGGAATTCGTTGCCGTTGGATGGGTTTCTGGGGTTTCTGTACTGGTGAGATCCACTCGGAGTCTAGAAATTTCTGGAGCCTAAGATGGAGACTAGCAAACGCTGTTTAGATGTTAAAGCAATCTTGCCTGGGAGGCTGCTTTGGATATGCATTTGAGCGCCTCTGCCAGCGGTGGATTCAACTTGGGTCCGTCCGCTCTAGAGGCTTGGCAAGGCAATTTGCGGGATCGAGCCCGGAATCCTGGATGTTTTTTTTTTTTTCGGGTGTTCCACCGTTCTACAGTATAAGTCATGGTCCTTTGATTCGTTTGATATAAGCAAACCACCCAAGTCGTTCGGCTTTGAGGTGTAAACAGGGTCTCCATGTCCTATCACCCATACCTCTCTTGGAGGACTGCTACGTGGAGTGTCAAGTCGGAGTTGTGAAGCTATGACCCAGTTGAGGTGTGTAAAGGGTTTGGAGCAGCCTCAATTCAGGTTTGTCTCCTGACTGCTGGCTGTTTTGTATATATGTTAACACGCACACACACACACAAATTAATTGATCATCATCATACCACTTGATTGGGGCTGTTGTCCTCACTAAGATCGACCAATGCGTGGAGAATGATTTGAGCAGCCCAGAGGTGCGATGGGCCTCACGCACAGGGTTGGTCAAGGCTTGGGTACCCAAGACACACACTTGTGGATCGGAAACTGTTCAGTCCTTCTTGTGCATTACTATGTTGATGGTTGTCCTCCGGGGGGGGCGTTTGTCAAGAGACTAGCATAACCGCGTGGTTGAAGTGAGAAGAAGATCCATACAAATAAACTATATATTCAACTTATATAAGCTGGCTAGGTGGACAAGAATATCCAAGATCCAGGCTGTTGTAGTTCCCGGTCGACGCGAATCAATGCAACATACAGAGTATGTCTAGGCGTAAAATGGCGTAAACACGTTGTAGGACATCTTCACAGGCCGAGCTGATTTGTTGGCTTGATTTCAACACAAGGACTCAGGTGAACTGCACAATTGTCATGTTACCTATATATATATACTGTATATATCTTGGAGTTAGCCTAGTTCAGGCCGATGGCTGAGCTAGACCTCCTTCACAAAATGCTGGATCAAATCTGCTGCGCTTCACCACTTATGTCAGGCCCAGGGTCGCCCCCAGGCTTTGACATCATTTGCTGCAGTGACAGGGCCGCAAAGAATAGTTCATGAATCCCGCTACTTTCTGGGGAGGGGATTGTAATCCGTTTGCTTGCCTTGATTTGCTGGAACTCAAGTCGTAGGCGAGATGTTGTGGGGGAGAGTTTGGGTATGCGGTATGAAGAGCATTGGAGTTTTCATGAAAGGGGGTTCGCTTTTGTGTCTATGAGCACCAGGTCAGCTCACATGCAATTACTTTTCGTCACATCATCGCTCGTGACATTAGCGACCGCATTTTTAGCCATGAATTTTCGTGTGCATCAACAATGTGCAAACCATGTGTAACCTCGCAACCAATCGTTTCAATTAGCATGTTTACACTGAACATATCTCGACATACTAAACCTGAAAGGTTTGGTGTACCTTCCCCAACAGGAGCTCCCTGACGAATCACCAGGAAAAACAAAGTATATAGGTCTCTTGTGGTAAGACGCGGCTCTTTGAGCGTTGGAGCATTCATTGGCCTAGGAGGATGATGATGACCTCTCAGACTGCTTTCCACCTGCAGTCCGGGCCCAAACTCGGGCGAACCCGGTTGGCGGATGGGTTGATATGTGACTGTGATGTATGCTGCTATTCAATTGAGAAAAATCTGACACTCAGGTAGAAGAATCGCCAGCTGAGCTGCAGGCAAGTGCGTTTCGCCATCATTTCAATCACAAAAGACTGCAAGTACAAAGCCCACGAGTCAGGTTGAAATACTTGAATGCAATCAGAGCTGTTGCTTTTGATGCGATTGTATGGCATGATTTTCCCCAGAAGTTTGTCGTGTCACGTAGCAGTCCAAACCAACCGTAAAAGTTGTTTTGCTCTCAAAGGATAGCTGCGATGAATCGGTGAGAATACAGAAGCACTTACTGGTGATTCGCCAGTGAAACCCCTAGAAATTAGCAATGAAACATGGAGACATTCTGTACTGCACCCATTGGCCCATTGTTCAACAAACACGGTTTCCATGCTTGTTTGACTTGAAGAGTGGTTATTGATTCTTGATGCAAGTTGATTGCTTGCACTTCTTGCCATGACCCGGGCCCTGTTTTGATCAGTGAGGGTCTCTCAAAATGAATTCCCTACTAAAACCAGGAGAATTGATTGATGGTTCCCGATTTCAAGACAAGCCTGTTTGGAAACAGTGATATTATCTCTGGTCATATCCACCGCGGGATCAGAGGCCATATCTTTTTGTGCTTTTTAATTTGTTTCAGAACAGGTTGGTTTACTCTTTCTCAGGCCTCGTGGCATGTTTCAAAGCAGCTTCCATGTTGCAGGCTGAAGGCGCAGCTGCAGAGAAGGCCAATTCTGCAGAACTGCATGTAGACTTATGCATCAATTTATTGTCTTCACGCCCTATCGCTGCGTGAGCCGGCATCTACAATCTACAAGGACAGTCACAGGAGGTTTTCAGTCGCCTGCAATCTCATGCCGACCGCCATTGCAAAGTTCACGGCAATGTTGAACGCCCACAGCACATTCATTGTTGCAATGGAATGCTCAATAAGACAAAGGAACTGAAGTCTCCTTCAACGTGCCTTGCAAGTTTTGAGGACTTGCTTTGATCAGGAGAAGCTCACGTTGTTTTGCTTGCAACATTGGAATGGAGCACACCAGACGATCATTTGCCCCAAGTGTGAATGAGAAATAAGCATCCACTCAGGTCGGACCCGGCATTGAAAAGCTGATGGTGCATAGTGGTGCCTTTGCAACACTTCCAAGCCCCAAGCTCCCCTCAACACCAGAAAAGTCTGAAGCCTGTTGAAGGCTGTAACGCTGGCGCCAACGGCAGCAGCATGACATTGGTGTTGTGAACATGGCGCCGTAAAGCTGCTACTTTGGGATGAATTGCACCGATTGAAAGAATGAGCTTGAGCTAATCCCTATACCAACCGGCCTCAACATACAGTGAAACTAGGAAGGCAACGAGATGTCCTGAGTCGAACACACATGGACATTTGTTAGTGGATCCATGTCCCAGGAGATTCACTGTCATAGTACTCATTCAGAAGTGCACGCACTCAGAAACATTGTCCCATCTAGCATTTGTTAGGAAAGTGATGTTTTGAAGCGCAGATTGGTGCCCTATGAGAGCGAGATTGAATTTTCAATCGTCTAGGTGCCCCCTCCCCCTATATTCAAGTGAAGGCAGGCAGAGATGCACGAGGATGTTGAGGAGATAATTTTGACTGAGAGACAATATTCCACAGAAATGTCAATGATTGGCAAGCAAACAAAGCCAGTCCATGCCAGTCCCTGTCTTGATTGGTTTGAGTAATGTCCTTGTTTACCTCCTCGGCTGAAGGTCCTGCAACTAACAGGTTTTACATGATCAGGCTCTTGTGAATTGCTTTCACATCAACTCGAAGTAATGATTGGTGCGATATTGTATCTTCTTGTAGCTGGTCTTGCATGCCTAAGTGTTTATATGTAGATATGAAGATATGATATGTACATAGTTAATCATAGTTTGTGGAATCCACAGTTGGTAGCAACTTGCAAACAGCGCACCTCACGCTGAGCCGAACCCTCTTCTTGCACGTCCTCGTGCAGCCAGATCAAATGACCATGTAAGGCCCTCCCACGCGCCTCCCTGCCCTACGACCTCGTGCCTCAAGGTCTGCGGTCGACACAAGACCATCCTCACGGCCGATCGAGCTTTGGTTTCACATGTCTGGTTTCAAGGTTGGAAATTCACACTCCCAAAAAATCTAAAAACTATGTTTTTTCTTCTTCAAGAGGATCGCTTGTTGCATGACCGGTTGACAGCCATTGAACTCGAGTTCGATGGTCTGCCCTTTGTTTGAGCACTTGCAGCTTGTCATGGAGCTGATATCGTCCCTGGTAAAGAGCGTGACGAAGAAAGTGACTCTGCATCACCTTGGTCAATGCGTCTGCCAATTGGGCACCTGTGTGAACCCATCGCAGGGTTGCACCCTCTGCCAAGAGATCTTTTATAGCTCTAGCCTGGAGTTGAGTCCTGAATTCTTGACAATTGGGCTGAGCTGTTCTTGTCACAAGATCGAACAATGATTTGCAGTCGGTGACTGCCACTGATTTGGGAAGCTGTTGGGCTAGATGGGTAGATACGAAATTGAACTGTGGCTTTCTTGAAACACCTTATGCGGCTGTTTCTAGTTCAAGTTGGGGTTCAGGAGCCATGCCCAAAATAACCTGAGCCACGACGTCTGGTCGAGACTTGTTTGAAGGGACGTTGCCTCCACTGACAAGGTACTCGTCACCACCTTCTGAATTTTCCTGCAACCCCAGGACAGTGGACTCACTGGACATTGATAGTTGTCTGTGATGTCTTTGTGGGTTGCCATGATGATCATACCAGTGTGGCTTTCTGGGCTTTTTGCTGATGGAAATGAAGCGTCTGAGAACATCAAAAACCTCAGGTCCTTGACCAGGATTGGTTGGATTCGAATCTGGGTATCCTTGTACCCTTTGGCTTCATGTAGCACACGATTTGCATCATGATGGGTCTGAACAGAAGCTCGATTTATTTCACTTTGAAGATAGCTTAGTCTGCTCGAGAGGTCTGGTCGTGTGTTTGTCGAAGCGTACTGAAGGCTACCAATGAGCGCGCGGAGGCTGTGTTTCTCTTCGGAAGTGACAGGGTCTGTCAGGCATGCTCGCCTGTTTGCATTCATGTGGATAGGCTCAATTCGGGGTTTTGAGATATCTCTACTCCGGTGAAGGTGAAATGACCAGTCTTCTTAGAGCCGAACGGAAACTGTTCCTCGAGCTTGGAGATTTGCTGATCAAAATAGTCATCACCCCCACACAGTCCGTCGTCGACGTGGGCGCCGAGACAATATGTATGCGCACGGATCAAAAGGTGCTGAGACAATTTGCACCTCCTTGAGAGTTCTGTCAAGCCCTTTGTGCCATAAATATGGAGCGTCTATGAGTCCGTATGCTGATTTCTCAAGTTTACACACCTGGGCTGGTTTCAGGTTCATTGCTTTGCGAAGTTCCTCAACTGGTTCAATGGCAAGAACTCGGTTTTCCTGGGTCTTTCCTTGTAAGAAGGCTGCTCGAATATCAAAGCTCTTAATGCTCCACCCCATAGAACAAATGAGTTGGGTCAACAACATCTTTTATTGCTTTCCTAAGGTTGGGCTGTCTCTTGGTATCGTGTCAATTTGGGGATCTTGAAAACCAAGTACAACGAGTCGGGCTTTTGCCTTGTGTGTTTTTGAACTTGGTCGAACTGTGACTTCGGTGGTTGTTACCTGCTCACTGTCCAGGGGCTTCCACGCGCAAATCCATCGGCGCAGGATTTGTTCTGGGTTCAGCTGATGTCTACATATCTTGCTGACTGTTCCTGTGTCTAGCCAGTTCTTGGCAGTCCACCTGGGGTGGAACCCACCGAGATTCCAGTGCCCGATGACGCCGATGAAGAGCTCCTCTGCGACGACCTTTTGTGTGTAGAAGATATTGAATGTTCAGAGAATCAAAACGATGGATCAGTAGGATGGAAATGGAAAACGCTGGTAACCGAGGATGACGTCCAGCATTGGAAATCAAACCATCCCACCGAAGACTTCCTGTTTGTTGCCTCCAACGCAAAACGTGATCGATCAGAGGTGAAGCTCCATCAGCTATCCAAGTCAGAACAGGTGTCACCTGACCTAGACTCTTGATCTTCTATTGGTCCTTGATCGGGTTGTTCCTCTGAACTGCTTGCAGGTCTGGATTTGGTGGCACGGACTTCCGGATTTGACTCATTTGGGGCGGTCTGGATCTCTGGTTCTTCCGTTGACAAACCTTCAGTCCGGACTGGAGGATTTGTTTCCGTTGCCGTTTCCTCTATTCCCGGGATTGCGTTGAGTCTTTGAGGAATATTTAACTGTTCCAAGGCACTTACTTCTCGGATGTGTTCAGGCGACAGCTTTACTAAGTTCCCCATGCAGTTGCACCAAGCACAGTGTTGTCCCTCTTGTTGGATGACCCGGCAGGTCCGATCCAGCCTCGGGTGGAGGGCGATCAGCTTTGCAACTGTTCTTGCAAACTTCCTGGTGTATTTTTCCGTAAACGAACTGCGTGAGATTCTTCCCTCCTTAGTCTTGATCGATCCAGCAATGGCCCTGTGCTCATGGTTTCGACGGCACGTGCGCCCATGGAGGGCGTCATACATCTCTGTGGACGTTGTCTGGGCAGACATGCTTTTCTGGATGTAGAGACCTGGGACATTTTCAGTTCTCCAGCATTGCACATGTCAAAGTGAGCTTCGAGCGCTACTTGATACAATTCATGAAGCATGGGTGTTTTGAACATTGGGGACTGGCAAGGTTGCTCCCGGTGTAGATGTGTGCCTTGGCTCCTAGTGGTTCTAAGCAAGACAATGCCTAACACCAGTTCATACAAATGGGAGTCCCGTTCTTGTTGCACATGTTCGAACAGATCGATGGATCTTCACTTGAGGTGCCGATACAGGGTTCTGCTAATTCATTCAAGTCCAAAACATACAAGCCGCGTGAATTGACCTGAATGGGAATTGATCGTTTCAGTAAAGAGCTATGCAGCACGCATGCCCTGTCAAGTATCGATCGCGGCACCGATTGCTCGGAACAAAGTATTGGACAGCAGGAAAGGTGTCATACCTGGCACAATGGCGATCTTGAGCTTAAGTTTACCGATTGGCGCAACTAAAGCATGATGGCTTTCAAGTGTTCCATGGCTACCAAATCTAAACTCGACATGACATGGACACCGAGATACTTGCTGTCTAACCTCTTTGGTGAGGTTGTTGATCAGGCCGGCCACGAAACAGCTTCCTATGACTGTCTTGGTGGCTCCTGTATCCACGGTACCTAGCGAATTGGACGTCGCAAAATGCGACTTGGCGTCGGTCTCAGGCTTTTGGCTCAACGTTGATTCACATGAGCTCGTCAAAATCTCTGCAAGAGGCGGCTTGAATGCGCTAGTCCTGAATTCACAATGGCTGGTTTTCTTTTCCATATCATGGTGTTCAATGTCCTCCCCCACATTGGTTTTGATATACTGGGTTCCAAAAACACGCAAACTTTGACAAAACAGGCACAGGCGCGATGGGCTCTTCTGGAAGCTGAAGAAACTCCAGTGGGAGGGCATCAATCCCTTCCTCCAAAGTCACCAGCGTCGGAGCTGTGGCAGCGTTGGCCTCATTGGATCTTCCGCGATCTGGGCATTCGGCCTTCCAGTGGCCACGACAGCCGCAAAGTCGACATGAGCTTTCAAGGATCCTTTGTTGAAGGGCCTTTCGATTCCCAGAGTTGCGATACCCTGAGGAGCCTTTCTTGCCCTTCTCCCAGCCTTGTCTCGAGCTGTGCCGTTTGCAGTACTCGACGGCCAGAATCCTCTGTTCTTGAAGCGGTCAGACAGTCGTTTCCTGGCCTCAGCATATGTCGCTGACGACAGGCTAAGTCTGCATCACCCAGAATTGCATCCAACATCGACTGTTCATAGTCCAAGATCAATGCTGCGTCCTCGTCACCCTCATTGGCCAACTGCTCAAGCATGTCCTCTTCTGTCCAGACCTCAGCCTGAAACACGGCATCTTCTTGAACAGAGTCTCCTCCCATAGTGTCATGGGCCAGGAATGCATTGGCCTCGTAGGTCTTTGTTCGACCTCCAGTGACTTTTCCAGCACGCACCTCTTGGAAAAACTTGCTGCCGAGCAATTTGAGGTTGGAGACAACATCTCTGTAGTTCAAAGAGCCCGATGACTCAACGATCAACCGCTTCTTGTCTTCGGCGCTCAGGGCGGAATTCCGCAACAGGATGTACGCTCGGAACTCATTTCTGGCTCTCTCAAACCTCTCAAATTTGCTTTCGAGGTTCGATTTCTTCCAGATTCCTCCGAGGGCCTCCACGATGGCCTTCACCCCCTCCAGGGAATTGACCCTCAAAGACTTGGGATCAAGGCGGGACACCCTCTGGAAGGATGATCCCTCACATTGGAGAGCTATGCGAGGATCAAGGTGTTGTAAATGCTCTGGTGGCCAAAGCTCGACCTTTCTTGGTTTATTCGGTCAATCTGTTTCGCCAGGCTGGAATTGTGGCACCTGATTCCATGCTAAATGGCTCAGGCTTCCCCCTTCCTGAGGATCCAGTCGAACCCCCTTCGTCCCTGGAACCGCTCATGGTGTCAAGCTGTCAACTGAAATGCCACTGCAACAGTGTAATCAATGCAAGCACCAACACAATGAGCAATGTCCACACGACACAACTCAATGTACCAATGTTTTCAACGACTTGTCAACTCGACCAATGTACACGCTGCGACCTCACAAGCCAATGTACAAAGTTTCAAGTGCAACTCGACGTCAAGCCAACAAGGTCACGCGCTGCAGTTCTCTGACAGCTGGAGCAGGAGCGGATGCTCCGCTACCAATGTGGAATCCACAGTTGGTAGCAACAACTTGCAAATAGCGCACCTCACGCTGAGCCGAGCCCTCTTCTGTTTTCCGCCGCCTCTGCAAGAACGAATGCCGGTGTCCTCGCCAGCTCAAATGACCATGTATAAGGCCCACGCGCCTCCCTACGACCTCGTGCCTCAAGGTCTGCGGTCGACGCAAGACCATCCTCACAGCCGATCGAGCTTTGGTTTCACATGTCTGGTTTCAAGGTTGGAATTCACAATAGGCTTATATATATATATATATCGCGAAATAGAACTGCAATCCCTCTCAGTTGATCGGGACACAAATACCGTTACCAGCAACATTTGCAAGCCAAGCCGTCAAGCCTCAGACCATCCCGAAAGCCATCCCAAACACCATTTGGCGCTTCACAATTCACATGTACTCAGACACCTGGCAAAACCCATTCTCCGGCCATTCACCTACGAAACCTCACCGCGAAGTGGTAGATTTTCATAAAATTCGCAAACCCCGGTCACCTCCCGCTCACTGCTCGTGAAAGCCTTTGAAACCAGCATGGCACAGCATGGCTATCCAAGGTGTTGAGTCTACTCTTCATTCGTGTAGAATGATACATTTGCAACCTTACGACTCATTCAATTCTTTTGTGGGACAAGATGAGAAGACAGGGCCGACTAAGCCCACACCAGAGCCACACTCGAACAAAACTGGACAAGGCCTGGGCCTGGACAAGGCCCCAAGAAGGCTGAGAAGACAGGGCCCACCACGCGGCCAAGCAGCACAACCAAACAGGTCACGCAAACCCGGTGGACGGCAGGGCCACGGCTGGCCACGTAAGAGAACACCAACATTGACTGGGCCTGGCTTGTAATGTCAACTTCGGATTAATCTGCCCCCCCCCCACATAGAAGGTGGGTAGTGGGTAGTGGGTAGTAGGTAGTAGGTAGTAGGTAGTAGTAGTAGTAGTAGTCACAACAAGTTTAAACAAGCACAAAGAAAAGGGCAGGGACACAGGATCAAATTAATAGGGGGTAGTAGTGCAGATTATTGATGGGGGACCGGCCCTTGTGAGGGGTACCCTTTGTGAGCTTGTCAAATGATTGTTTTTAATTGCTTTTTAATAGGGCAATTTATAGGCCCTGAGCCCCTAAGGATTTCATCAAACGTGTAGTAGGTAGTAGGTGGTGATGGTCGTGGTAGTGTTGGTCGTGGTAGTAGCAGTAGCAGCAGCAGTAGCAGTAGCAGTAGCAGCAGCAGTAGCAGCAGCAGCAGCACCAGCAGCAGCAGCAGCAATAGCTAGTAGCAGTAGCAGGAGCAGCAGCAGCAGCAGGAGTAGTTGTAGTATCAGTAGCAGCAGCAGCAGCAGGAGGAGTAGTAGTAGTAGTAGTAGTAATACGAAAAATTGCCCTGGTTGTGGGCTCGGATTAACTGGAGGGGATTGTTGGTAGAAAACTAGACGATAGGGGGGGAAATCAACAGCCAATAATATTTTTAATTTGGGCAATTTCCGGTGGCTTTGTGGGTTCGGATTAACTAGGGGGGATTTATTAATCCTAACTTGACATTATAAGTGCGCGCGCTGCTTCTGATTCCTTCTTCTCCAGGCTCTTCCGGCCTCACTTAATTTTCCAAGCAGTGGCTTTGGGTAAGGTTTCGACTGTCTTCTCTTGTTCCCATTTCAGCTTTGCTTCGCTTTCTGTTTTCTAGTTTTTTGCTATCCCGGCACACGGGGTTCTTCCAGGGAACCAGCAAAAACCATGCAGCCTTAAGCTCCAGCAAGGAGGTTGTTTGTTCAATGCCAGAAGTCGAGCGCTCACCCTCTCCACCGTCCACCTGATGTCAGATCCCCATGACACCGAAAAGGTCTTCTCCCTGTTTATGTTGCTGCCTCACGCTTTTGCCCTTGGCCATTCTCGTAATTGAGGGTGTTCATATCGGATTGGTTTAATACAAATTTAGTATTTGGTGGGCCATTGTTTGGGGAAGCAAGCAGCCAGGTTACTGTTGCTTTGTCACCAGTGCCAGTGTTCCTGGGCGCAGAAGCAGCACGCAGCCAGGACCGCTTTGCAAAAGTCCGATTGAAAACCGGTTATATCAGCTATATCTGTGGCTCCAAAATGGGTGGGTGTTTCCCGTTAGGTCCTGACGTTTCTGCAGCTGATATACGTAGAGGTCATGTGAAGCCAATGTGTTCTTTTGAGATGTTGCGGGTTGTCATGCATTGTGCTGATTTACAATGTGAGATGGTGAAGTCTAGTGTAGTGCTTAGTGATGTGGTCAAGTAATGTAGGAGAGTGTACGAGTGTGTAAAGTGTTGATTTATGGTGTCTTGAAATGTCATGAAATATGTGAATTCGTGATGTGATGAAAGTGCACTGAACTGATGTCGTGTTGGTGGATTGTGCTTTGGAAGTTGTTTGTTGCAAATATAGGTGACCGAATCCAGTTGCCTGTGCCTTGCAAAAAATGCCGCAGGAGGGTATGCCTTCAGAGTGGACTGGCTCGGAGGGTGTCAACAGCCCAGCAACAATACTGTGGACAAAATGTTTGAATACGTGAGAATCGGAGACTTTAAGTGACAAACAGAGCAGACTTTGTGATCCACAGAAGCTGAACTTGCAAGTTTAGGAGGGAACACACTAAACCTGTTTGCCTGCGATATTAAGGAGCTTTCAAAGGCGTCCTCCTCTTGCGATGGGAGCCCCAGAACTCACACTGCCAGACTGACCCTCAAGTGTTAGAGGAATCCTCCACACGTTCCCTCAGTGAACTTGAGGGCACAAATGTCAGGCTGATGATCCTCAGAGATGGGAGGTGGAGGCCAAATTGACTGTGAAGACTTTCCTTGGTTTTTGCTTGGATTTCATGTTGTAACACTGTAATGGGGATGGACTACAATGAAATTCTGGCTGAAACATGTTGCTACTGTATCTCAATCTGTCAAGTGAGGCTTTGAGTGCAACAGTAGGCAGCCAAGCTAACTGTTTGGAGGCGGTGAATGCCATTGAAATGCCTGAGAGCAACGTGGTTGAGGTTGGTTTTGTCACTTTGGCATTAGAGGTGTGTATAGCTTACTGAAGAAACACTGTAAGCACCACAGAACTTCCGTTTGGATCAGTTGGTTACTTCGGACAATGTCCAGCTGCAGATATTTACTTTATGTTACTTTCAGCGAATAACTTCGGATTAATGTTTCCTTTGCACCAAGAGAGGAGTTGTTGAAAAGCTCGTTTGTATAGCCTCGGCCCCGGATGCCAAATCATACAGGACGAAGGACGCGCCGAAGCAGCAGAGGCAAGCAAGGCCAGTTGCTTTCCAAAGAGCAAAAACTAAACAGAGTGCACCCAGGTTTGAATGAGAGGAGGGAGCTTGAGCATAGTTGCGTTATGTCAATGTCAGCGACTTGTTCTTAGGCAGTGAATCTGGTGGATGTCCAACAATTCTGACCGAACCATGGTGTCAGTGGTTGTGAATTCATCATAAGACTGGTAGCGCTGTTTCACTTGACTTTGCACGTAGATGAATTTACTGTGACTTTTACCGCAGCCGGCTTGAGCTAAAGGCCAAAAGTTTTCACATTGGTAGCGGAGCTGTTATGAAGTTCCACTGAGACCTCTCGGATCTCAAATGCACCTGCTATTCCGCTAGCAGATTCTGCAGCCGTCTCAAGCGTTACGTGCTTGAGAGCCGTTTGTTGCTGAAGGCACGGATGGCGGCATCCACTCTGCGTTACGAGCAGAGGGGCTACAAGGTCCAGGAGACGAATTCTGGGGTTCCAGTCAACGATAGAAGTCCCAGTGGCTTCCTTGAGCGGGCGTTTAGGACTCTTGCAAGGTACCACTCAACAGAGGAGACCGAGCTCTGGAAGCTTGGCGGTCGGCTGGTAAAAGGGCTCACTGGAGAAGCCTTGAAGGTGCCATGGCAATGGGTCACAAGAAGTTGGGTGAAGAGACAGCAGGTCCCGGTGCTGGTTAACAAGGTGAAGAAACACATATCATATGTTCCCTTTGGCATCAGCTGAGGCGAGAGAGCTGTACAAGATGGGTCAAAGACCAGGAGTACTCAGTACTCAGCCGACAAGATGGTGAGTCAATGATCAGCTATGTAGAGCGCAGAAGGCGATGGTGGGGCATGTTGCAAAGGCTGGATCCAAAGATACGCCTCTCAGAGACTTGCTGGGAGAGCTATTGTTGGACCACTCTGGACTGTCTCCCACCGAGTGCCTGATGGTCATGACTCCCACGTTCAACAACTTGGATTTCGATGTGGTGGCTGAAGCACTCATCAAACAACTTGCGAGGCAAGTCACGAGCTGGCCAATGAAGATTGGAATGGACCATGGGAAGAACCTGAAGGGTACCCACAGGACAGTGAAGCATGGATGGGAACCTTGGCACTATGACGATGGATATCAGGATTATTCCTCCTATGGCATGGGCGAGACCTGGGATGAACCTGTTCGATGAATTCAGCTACGAAAGAGCCAATGAAGTCAAACTGGCCTCCACTATCCAAGAAGCCTACCTCGCCGGTAACAGCAATGATGGCATGGAAAAGGCAAATCCAAGAAAGGATTTATTTGGCAAGTCCTATGGCAGAGGAAATCTCAGCCTTGAAGATAGCAGACAAAGGCTGGCAGAGTTCAAGAAAAGGACTGAACGCCAAGCATGTGGACAGAACGGACAGTGGGCTGGTGACAAGGAATGCCCATCTTAGCCGTGAGGAAACAGCCTGGAGGCGACAGCGATGATGGTATCATGCTTCCCAACGAAAGGAGGTCTGGCACCTGCTGTATGCATCAAGGATATGACCAAACAAGCAGTACGAGTACGATGCATGTCCTCACAAGATCTGGGACTGGAGAGGAAGTTCAGAAAGCTCCTTGGACAAGAGCAGCAATGAAGAAAGTTGCGGGTTGCGATATGAGCGTTCGGATGAACGTGGCCGTGAAATCACATTGAGAGGAGCATCGCAACGACGACCACGAAGCCCAGAGACACCACCAAACGGTTCCAAGGGACGTGGCTAGCCCAAGAGCAGATCAGGCAAGGCAATGAAGGGGAAGTTTAAGTACTACGGCCACGAGCGAATGTCCCTTGACGGGATCAAGAAAGTCTTGGTCCGATTCCGCGACGACCACCAGGACAATGGACGGAAGCCAAGAGGAATTTTACTTCTTGGTACATGGAGGACTACGCCGTTAGGGTGATGGTGAAGAAACGGGATTTCTCGGATGAACATCACTCCTGAGAGCCGCAACTGGCGGAAGTTCACTGCAGTGCTCCAAGATGTGGATGATGTGCGGTGCCTTACTGAGGCTAACACGACATCAGACCACGAAGAGGCGTATGAGGGTGAGACGCCAATGTTGCTGGTGGCAATTTTGGCGCAGCCATGGACCATCAGCGGAGGAGGATGGTCCTTCATTCCGAGCCTTCTAGCATGTCGCCATGGCGACTGGGGCCTTGAGTCTGAACAGGTGGATCGGGGCAAGAAGGTGAAGGCAACACGTGCACATAAGCACCTAGCACTTCTCATTCTGTTGGGTTTTGCATGCCCCTTGGCTCCAACAGGACACAAGATCATGGAGATCACGGACGACTCCTTGTTCAACGGCCTGATGACCTCAACAACAACTTCTATCAGCATGTCACTGTGATTAAGGGTCTGGGATACGACCAGAAGCAAATGATGGCTGTTGCGGAAAGCGTTGAAGGCTTGAGCGCCTACATTGCTACATCACACCCGAATTTGGGGAGGACTGCAACATGATCTTGGATATGGCATTTGCAGGTGGGGCGGATCTGGAGACATATCTATCCACGGCAGTGGTGAAACCCGACCCCTGAAGGACTGGGCTGAAAGAAAGGACAAATATATAGAGCGCCAAGAACCAACAACTGTGGAAGACGCTCCACAGTGCCCAGCATTCCAGAACGCACTGGAAGAAATGTTTCACTCAACTGTGACATTTTGTGACTCATTTCCGGCTGAGATGGAGGAAGATACATTGCCACTTGGACCTCTCGATGTTCCAGAGGAAGAAGAAGAGATTGGAGATGAGTTCCAATCAAGGAACTCTTCAAGCACGAAGAGCAGATTGAAGAAATCCCACTTCCTAACCTTCCAAAGGATGAAAAAGAAAGACGTGAGCAGTGGATGGCGTTACCACAAGCCACGCGCATCGCTGTGCGCAAAATGCATCGCCGATTTGCACACGTTGCACCACGAGCGCTAGTGGAAATCCTCAGAGCATCAGGAGCCAAGCCAGATTTTGTAAAGGCTGCACGAATCCTGACATGTGAAGGATGTGGCGCACATAAGCCAAGGGCGCAAACAGCAAAGGTGAGTTATGAAGGAGCTGTTGGAGTGGACATGCTTGAAGTGAAGGACGCAGCATCTTGTCCATGGTTGATCAAGGCACATGTTTTTACCTAGCAACGATAGTGCGAGTTGGAGGAAGTCAACCAAGCTCCAAGATATGTTTGGAAGAAGAGAAATGGTCATCTCGGGCGAGACAACCGTATGATGTTGTAACCGACAGAGGACTTCACAATCGTGGAGAGTTCGCGTCTGGGCTCGCATCACAAGGAACGATCATCGCAAACATTGGAGTTGAAAGCCCTGAGATGCTTGGACGAACAGAGAGGCACGGCGGATTGCTGAAGGCAATGGCGATGCGAACTATCGCTGAGTTGAATCTTGCTGGAAGAGATGCAATTGCAGAAGCACTATAGCCAGAGTGTTATCACAAAGAACTTGATGTCGCGAGTGAAGGGATTCGTGCCAGTTCAATGGGTTTTAGGAAGAGTGCCTTGAGAGCCAGGATCTGTGTTTGAAGAAGATTCTTGGGCAGATCTCGGAGGCACAACTCAATTGAGGAAGTCACCCCCGATCCAGAAGGAGTACGGTGTAGGAGATTTGGTCTGCTTCAGGACAGATCAAAGCAGATGGTCAACAGCATGCAGATTCATCGGACTCGATGGCACCAAGCTGGTATAGGTACTGCACCGAGGAACACCAGCCTGTGTAGCTAGCTGTTGATAGACTCCGACCTGTGAACGCAGCCGAAGCATTTGCGCATCAATTCCTATACAAAACCAGAAACCCTTCGTGTTTGGAGGTGGAAATCAGCAACAAGGCTACCACGGCAGAGTCAGAGATTACAGAGTTGGCAAAGCAGAAATGGAGAAAGATGAGGCGCGAGCAGAAGGAAAGTGCAATACAGAATCCTGAAGAAGAAGAACTGAGAGCCGGAAATGACTAGAATGAAACATGTACAGAACATGAGAGACCATGTACAGAGCAAGCGAAACCAGAGTCACGTGTGTGAATTCACCATAAGACTGGTAGCGCTGTTTCACTTGCCTTTTGCATGTACATGAGTTTACTGCGACTTTTACCGCAGCCGGCTTGAGCTAAAGGCCAAAGGTTTTCGCACCTGTTGTTTTTGTTTGTGTTCTTGTTCTTCGTTCTTGCTTTTGTTCATGTTATCGTTTTTTGTCTCGTTCTCGTTCTCGGCGTCGTCAGGCAGAAGAATCTACTACTGCGCTGGATGCAAGAATTGATGAAGGGGCAGATGAAAGGCGTGATGAGGTGCCAAACCGTTGTTAGAGCCTTTTTGGCCTGTAAGATACTGCAGATGTTGCGAACCTTCGTTTCACCAATGGGTTCTGGTTGACCTTTTTGCTATTTTTGTTCGAGCTATAACACGAAATATTGAATCTTCACGGAGGCAGACAAAGCATCTGAAACTTCGGAGCCTCTTGAAAACATCGAGGCATGCGTTGGTGCTCTACAGGATCAAGGAATGTCAAAGTTACTCAACTGCTGTAATGTGTTTTTGCCTTTGCCGGACAGAGTGTGTTTTTTTCAGGATGCCCTTGGTTGTTGCAAAAAGCGGCACTCATCACTCATCAGTATTTTAGTGTTTCAACAGACAGATGAACCAGAATCGTTTTTTGTGTTTCAGATGGACCCCACAAAGCTCAGAGGAGCTTGGCGTGGTTCGGGCCCTGTTGCATGTCACACTTGATGCAAGAAAATTGTGTCAAAACTGCGACTGTCAACTGCCGAGGACCGGGCAAGTGTGAATTGGGTCACGATTAAGCACAAACTCTGTGTGTGTGTGCGCACACGCGTGTGTGTTGACGTTTTCCTTCTTGAGATACAAACCTGGCCCAGGTGAGAGCGTCTCGCCAGAACGTAGGACTGAGACTTGGAATTGTCCGCGTAAGTGGGGACGTTGTTGGAGCTCTGTGCTTGGGAACCAGACTGCACTTGCCATGTCTCAGGCGATGCAACTGTGTTGCATTTCATGACACCGCCAGGACAAATTCTGAAGCGCTTTGGCATATCCTAAGGCAAGGTGCCAGACAAGTACGTGGTTACCCTGCAAAACTGTTTTGAACACATGGTATGAATTACAAAGTAACTAGGGCGCAGTGCAGGGTAGTGAGGAGTCCTCCAGCTCACACAAGAAGAGCCAAGTTAATCTGTTAATCTATGTTGCAAGATTCTACTAACCTTTCAAAGTGTAGATCGATTTGATATTGTTCCTCAGGAATAGCAGAGAGGATTATATAGTAAATATTCAAACTTTATCAGCAAACTGTTGTTGCGTGAAAAGCAATGGTTCAATGGCACAGGTGCCCTGCTCACCCAGTAAACGAGTTGTTTTGCAGACTTTGGGGTCCTGTTCGGGAAAGAGAAAAATTGACATAGGAGTTTGCACATCCTGTTGTCTATTAGATGTGCTTTATTATTGGGGATCCAGTGCCAACTGAAGAAGCGTTTGCTAGGACCAAGCCTCTGCGACCGCCAAAGTCAGAAGACAACTACGACATGTCTTCTGCGGTGAGCCCACGTCGCGGAGCGAAGTTCAGCCGATTTCTTTGTTTAAAGCTCGCTCCTACTTCATTAAGTAGGCACCTACTTGATTATCGTAATTAAGTAAGGGTGTCGAAATGTATAGTCCATATATGCTCCGCTTGTACAGTTCTGACTAAGGACTTCATGTATGCTTTGGCTCAAGGAGAAAAGGACGCTCCGTAGCGTCGATATCATGTTTTGATGGGTGAAAGTGAAAGTAGCAAATTCGAACTCTCCTGAGCCGGCACCGAGAGCGGCCGCTTCGGCCGCACCGGTGACCGAGCCAGAGGAAAAGGAAGAAGAAAAGAAGAAGAATGTTTGCCTGAACAATTTCCTGAGACCGAGATCACCAAAGAAAAGACTGAAGAGGAAAAGAAAGAGTCCGAAAAGGAAGAGAGAGAAGAGGGCTTGGAAGAATATACCCCTTCACAACCTGGTGATCCTGACCGAGCGGCTGATCCAGCCGAGTACGAAGAAGAGCTGCCATTCGTACTCGGGGACGAACATACAGCACCAGACGGAACACGTCACAGCTGGGAACTTCAGTCCACCAGATTGCACGGCAAGGCAGACAAGGCAAGTGCAACAGCTCCGTGACGCCAAGCGACAAAGCCAAAGAAGGTACAAAGGTTTGATCGGCCTGAACAGACCTCTGAAAGAACCGGGCTTAGGCTTAGATTGAGAAGCCGCGTGCCACTCCAGTACCGGAGGTTGAAAGACTGCATCAGGCTCCAAAGCTAGAAAGGAAGACTTACAAAGGAGCTCAAAAAGAAGTCAATGAGCTCGGCCGAAAGCGGCTGCAGAGTGAGATCAAAGAAGAGCGTGAGGAGCAGAAAGAGCGGCACAAGGTATGAAGAGCCGCCAAGAGAGATCGGGCAGAGGAGAAGGCAAAAGAAGAAGAATGTCCTCCCGGCCGCGGTCGCTCACCTTTGCGACTGCGGCCGAGGAGCCCTACAAGAGAAAGGAGCCCGTTGCAATTCGAGATCCGTGGGCCGAAGCACCGCCATTCAGCGCGGCGAAAACAACAACACTGTCGGACAAGCGGTGTGGGGAAGGGCATTGAAGCTCAACGCCCAAATTCAGGACCTGGCAAACGTGGCAGCTCGGGAGGAAGAGATCCCGAATTGGAAGCTGGGGTCACCGTTCCAAGTCCGCAAGATCACAGCGGACTATCTGGTGAAGAAGCTGCGTGGGACAGTGGCTTTAGAAGCTACTCGACGGCTGTCGGCCAGCCCGCCGGGCCAGGAGAAAAGAAAGGAAGCGGTCAGGCCTGCAGCAGCTGCGACGAGAAGACAGTGCTGTCGAAGCCAAGGACCGTCGAGCGCATAAAGGCCAGAGGGTTGAAGGGCAATCCTTTGCAGCTGACTTGAGAAGAGAAAGCGGCTGTTGCGAGCGCACGGGCTAAAGCAAAGCTGTAGCCAAGAGGAACCGGCCATTGGAAGACGGCCAGAAGAGTTGGCTAGCAGCGGGTCGCGGCTCCGAGAGACCTTACAAGTCTGCTCAGTTCTCCGACTAGATACTTGTCACGTAGCGGCCTGGTGAAAAGGCCGACCGAGACGGACGATCGCGTCCGTGGGACTGTGACAAGGAGTGAGTTATTGTGGCAGCTGGGAGATTTGGGGTAGAAAACCATGGCTTTGGAACAACAGGTTCAACAATTGTCCGATCTAGTTCAACAACTTCAACAAAACCAAGTGAGATTGGAACAAGAAAACCACAGTTTGAGGGAGAGTCAAGGAGGTGTAGCAAAAGAAGAACGAAAGCAAGGGGAAACAAATCGTGGTAGACACCAAAGGTCTAGGAAAGCCGGATCTATTTGACAACACGGAAGATCACTTCCGGAGATGGGCACGATCGATTGACAACCTCTTCATTTCTGTTTTTGGACATGAGTTCATCAAAGTTTTGGAATGGTGTTTGGAACAAGAAGATCAAATCGAAACCAAAATGGTTGAAGACGAGTTTGGAAGTGGCACAGTGAGTGCAATCGAGGATCTAGCAGACAAAGCCGTCCAGATCCATCAAGCGTTGTTATCCCTCACTTCCGGAGAAACGGAAGATCTCATGATTGGTGCACCCAATGGTTTTGATGCCTACTGACGAGCGCATAGAAGATGGGACCCACGCACATCAGGGAGAAAGCGAAACATCCTGCAGGCTATCTTGGCACCAGGGCGAGTGAAGAGCTGGCACGCTGTCAGACCAGCGATCGAGCAACTGGAGGAGCTGGCTCGCAGGTATGAAGCTCGGCGAAACGCTGCGGGAGGTTTTGTCAGATGACATCAGAAGCGCGCCCATGGACATGTTGGTACCCCCAGGTCTTGAAAAGCAAGCATTTGTTATTCAACAAGGGTAGGTTGACATCATATGCACTGATCACAAGCAGGAGGCTCCAAATCATCCATCCCAAAACCAGGTTCAAGCTCGAGTTCATATCAAGGACCCCAACCAATGGGCGTAGACTCAATAGGACAATGGATCGCTAGCCTGGGCAAAGGAAAGGGTAAACGAAAAGGCAAACAAGGAAAGAGCGACGGAGAGAAAGGCTCAAGCAAAGGAGGCTCAAGCACAGGCTCAAGATATCACTTGTTACAACTGCACAAAGAAAGGAGCGGCCGATTGCTGGAGGATGGTAAAGGTCAGGACAAATCATCAGGCTCAGGAAAAGCCAAAAGCAAAGGTAAAGGTTCAGGCAAGAGCAAAGGCAAAGGCAAAGCTGCAGGTAGTATAGCAGAGGTAGAGGATCAGGACGCAGGCACCGAGCCCACACCTGAAGCGGATGTCGGAATGCTCACGGCAGCCTTGAGTGGGATTGGAATAGCGGACGCTTCGTCTGCCAGCGAATGGATGAAGTTCAACTTGGACACTGGAGGAGCCAAGACGGCCATCCCAAATGGTCGGGAGGACAGAGTCACTGTCAGTGACGGGGTGGAGTTGTGTTCAGAGACAATGTCTGAAAGGGACAATGGCTGATGTTCACAAATGATGGCAGAACCAAAGAAGCGCGCCGGGGAACTTCCACCGGTTGCAAAGGTTAAGCCAAACCCAGCGCAAGGAACAAAGCAAACGGCAGAAGTGGACGTAGAGAAGCTGGAAGAGGGCACAGACCCGTTCAAGACCGTTCCAGAGACGCCGCCCATCGGGTGGAGGCCAGCTTCAGGCTTGAACCCAACCAAGGAAAAGGTATCATCCAGGAGACGTACTCAGCAAACAACCTGAAGATCACCAGTGGCGAGGTGGCTGACATAGCACACCTGTGCGCCCAGATTGCGGCGGTCAACGTGATGGAGCTGTATTCGCCGAAGCGATTTACAGCGCTGGCCGAAAGATACAAGCTACGGCCAGGATTCGCCATCGGCCTATGTGAGGCGAAGGCTGGCGGAACGCATTGGGACTTGACTCGACCCAGTGACATCCAGGAGACGCATGACATCCTGGATCAGGATGAACCAGCTCACAGGTTCATTCACCCCCGTGTCACATGTTCTCTCAACTCCAGAACCTGAACTGGAAGAACGTGGCACTGGATGTGAGAAGAATGAAGATGGATGAAGCAATCCATCACTTGCGCAGAAGCGTTGAGCTGTACACTAAGCAGCGTCGCGCTGGACGCAAGTTCCTTCATGAAGCCATGGGCCGCAACAAGTTGGAAGGATGGAGTGTTCGTGGTCAAAGGACCAATGTGCATGGCAACAGACGAGGGAGGACTCCAAGGTACAGGGTATGTCCGGAAAGAAACTGGATGGATGACCAATGATGAAAACTTGACGCAAACCTTGGAAGGTGTTAGCTCGGATGAGACGGGCAAAGGACCATGGCACAGGCACACCCACTTGGTAGGAGGAATCGCAAGACAAGCAGCGGTATAACCGGCGCTGGTGAAAGCAGCACATGGAGAAAGGCGAGCTGAACGCTTTCGACATGTTCAATACCAGAGACACTGTTTGTAGACCCAGAGTTCGAAGAGATGTGGATGGAGGATGTGAACGGTGGTTTGAGAAAGTGAAAGAGGCAAGACACCTAGAGACGGACTTCTTGAAGGTCAAGCATGGCGTCTATGTGACAAGGCCAAGAACAGTGCGCTTTGAAAAGACGGGGTAGCCCCCGATACCAGTGAAGTGGTTGGACACCGACAAAGGTGACCCAACAAACCCGAACTATAGGAGCAGACTGGTAGTGCGTGAGACCAAAGCTCCCATGACCAAGGAAGGGCAGTTGCCAGCAAACTTACTTTTCAGCAGCGCGCCGCCCTTAGAGGCGATGAGACTGCTATGCTCGTTGTGGGCAACAAAGAGAAAGTTCTCGCCACAACCAGAAGCTGAAGCTGGGATTGCGGGACATCTCAGGAGCCCACTTCTATGGAACACCAAAGAGGAAGATCTACATAGAGTTGCCTGAGACGAAGAGCAAAGACGGGCAAAGCTGTGGACTTCTCGTGAAGTCTATGCACGGCACGCAAGACGCCCCGAACATCTGGCAGACGCGGTATACGGACCGTGACACCTTGCAGAAGGCCGGGTTCTGTAGAGGAGTCTCAAACGCGTCAGTTTTCTTCCATGAGGACTGGGATGCCCGAGTGATGGTTCAAGGTGATGACCTCCTAGCGTTGGGAGACGCAACTCACCTGGACAAGCTTGCGAAGGTTCTCGGTGAGGCCTATGAGCTGAAATGTCTCGGTATTCTTGGAGATGAGGATGGAGATCGAAGGGAAGCCCTGACGCAGTCTTGAACACAACTGAAGTGGAGATGAGTATAAAGATCGAAGCAAAGCCCATTTCCTGAATCAGTTGATCCGCATCGACGAAAAGAATGGCAGAAGCTCAGTTGTGATCGAAGCTGATCGACGGCGCGTGGACCTCCTGCTTGGGGAGTCACCTGACAACAAGAAATCCTCGGACCAGCAGGTGCTGATCCCGAAGTCCCGAAGCCCACACTTGGACGAGAGTGACGCATCGTGCAAGATCGCCTGGACATAGGACACGCTGTGAAGTGGAGAATCTCGCCAGAGGGATGGTGACCTGAGGCGAAGTTGGCAGGCCTGGAGAGGCTGATCCGCTACCTTAAGCGGTATCCGGATGTGGCACAAGTCTTCAGTTCTCAGCAAACGCCGACGAAACGGCGGATGCAAGTAGATGCAGACCATGGCGGTGATGCTGTCACAAGGAAGAGCACCACGGGAATGGTGGCCATCTTTAGCACCCACGCGCTCAAGCGCAGCAGTAACGTCCAGTCAACAATCGGCCTTTCAACTGCCGAGACTGAATACTATGCTCTCGTAAAGGGCGGTTCAACAGGTCTGGGATTGCAGAGCCAAGGGCACTGTACAGAGGGTTGGACTTGGCAAGGCACGCCATATCCAAACGAGGTACTAAGAGAGAATAGGTGAGAAGCACCTCAAACTTGTCCATGTTCCTGGAAAGAAGAACAACGCTGACTCTGACGTTCAGTCCCTGGAGTACAGCGCCGAAAGACGGTGGAAGATCTCCAAGGCCAACTAGACATCCTCGAATGAGGCCCTGGCCAGGCTCCACTACCATGTTCAGGACAAGCGGCATTGAGTGCAGTGGGAGAGAAGAGGCTTCACTTCGTTTGTATAGTTTGCGCAGGGCTAAGCTCTTTGCAAAAGGAGGAGTGTCGAAATGTATAGCCCATATATACTCTGCTTGCACAGTTCTGACTAAGGGTTTCATGTATGCTTTGGCTCAAGGAGAAATGGACGCTCCGTAGCATCAATATCATTTTTTGAAAGGGGCTACTAGCAATAGGAAGAAGTTGTTATATACATATGGATGCAAGATACACGCTTCTTCAAGGAAATTCCCCCCGCCTGAGATTTGGTTCCCAAAGCTGTTGAGTTTCTTTTAATGGTCGAGCGAGAGAGCAACATCTGTTTACAGACGAAGCCTATCTCCAGTAAGAAACCCTACACTTGTGACAGTGGGTTCTGTCGAAACAAGTATATATTGTACATAAGTGGGGAGGCAGGCTACACCCAGAACATAGTGACCTTTTTTGTGGGTCAAAACCCTGGTGCCCTTTTTGCAAGGTGACTGCCACTGTTGTCGTAGTCGGTTTTGCGAACAATAACGCCTGGGTTTTGTTTGATCCACTGTAGTTTGACCTGCACCCCGAAACCGATTCCTTAAAGCAGAAATGCGCACAGCTGCAGTGTGTTTTGCCGACCTAATCAGGGATTCACAGTCTTCAAGTCTTCAAGCATGTTCAAGCCAAAGAATTGGTTTCCTAGACTGAACGAGGTTGTGATATGTTGTGATCACAATCGTTACAAAATGAATCAAAATGATATGTGTAATCATCAACTATAATCCACTGAGCTAATGTAGCTGACAAGCTGCATGAGGCACTAGGCCCATCAGGATTCCAGTGCCGTCAGGGCGATCCAGATATGACGGAAGAAGAGCGTGCACAGCATGAGCTTGACCTTGAAGACCGCAGAGTAACGAAGCAGTCTCCAAGGTTCGCCTCAACAGTGTGTGTGTGTGTTGGACCGGAGGTTGGACAGCTGTCCAATCGGGATGTCCTTAATGAGTGTTTGCCAAAAAAGAAGTTAGTTCGGCCTTTTTTCAGTGCCAGCTGAGGTGTGTATTGTGACCAGTCCTAACGAAGCCAAAACGGCAAGCCTGAATTACGGCCTAAATCCTGTTTTCAAGCTGGTTACTTCCAAGGGTTGGATACCCAGTTTTGTTCAAGTGAATTGGGGAGCGCACTAGAGTATCACATTGGTGACGAATTCGAAGAAGGATGCGGTGCGGACGCTTTTTGGACAGTCTCCACAAATGGGCCCCTCTCGTCCTGCCATTCCTGACAGATGGTGCGAAAACTATTTGGAGCTTGTCCACCAGCAGAAAGACTGGGATCCAGATACTGTTTTTGGAGAGGCCTGCAGTTTTTTGCCGCTTTGTGATTTCTGGTTTTGATGGGCGCTTAGAGTGAAGGTGCCACCCTGCGATCTGGATTCGGCAGCGCTCTGAGACATGGGCGATGTTGAAGAGGGAATCACCAATGCATCACCAAGTCTGAAGTTCAGGTGTTCCCAGATGCACTCTATATGGAGCTGAACTTGCAGCGCACGTACAAAAAGCGTAGAGGGTGGCAGCCTCAAAAGCAGTACGTGTTTGATGCTACAACAGTCAATAGTGTTTTATAACAGTCCACGGGGGTGAGGCCCAGTTGAGACGGGTCTTGACCAAAAGCAGTGACGGTAGGTCTTCAGCAAATTGGAAAAAAGACCAGCTGAAGCCCGATGAAATGGCGAACTACAAGAGAAAGCTTGGTCTGAAAAAGGCAGCTGGTGGAGTGAGTTGACGGGTTGTCCATAGGCAAGGGTTCTCCTCTAAAGCTGCAGTTTGGGTGTTGGGTTACTTCAGTATTTTCAATGTTTTTTATGTTAAAATCTATACTGTGCACGGCACGGCCTTGTTTTGAGACTTGAGACTTGATGGATGGCTGGGGCCAACTTTATTGTGATTCATGGCTGCCTATGGGACCCTGAAAGGCAATGTTGCAGCGCCCCTGTGTGGCTTACTCCCAAGACCTTCGACCTTGCGAAGCCCCCTTAAGCCCTCCCTTAAGCTCCCCCTTAAGCCCCCCCTTTGCTTCCCTTGTGACCAAACGTTGACCTGGACCTTGTCAGCTCGTTCACCGAGCTCCGCTACCACCTGAAAAACCTACTACCTCAAGTAGATTTCAAACGTCCTAAACACAAAGCAAAAGCACGTGCAACAGCTCACAAGCAACTTGAAAGCACTCGCACACCTTTTACGCGCACTCTCTGGCCTTGAGCCAAAGTAAAGTACAAAAGGCTGTGAGGTATTCCTGCATACAAGCTGTTCCCATGCGAGACACTGAAAGTGTCGAGCTTAAACGCACTCGAACATGCACAAAACTGTTCAAGAAACATTCAAACTACAAAAGCTACAAAGACTTCTGTCACAAAGCTTCCAAACATTGCACATTCCATGAGCTTTGCTCTCCAAACACTTTGAAACACAAGGTTCCGGTAAGGAACGCTTGCACAAACTCCGAAAGCACAAAACCTCAGCATAGTGCCGGGAGTAGCCTTGTGCCATACCACATGCTGGGGCATTTGGCAAAGGGCTTTTGAAAAGGAATAGTCTGTCATGCGATGTGGGCCACAGCAACAACAAGCAAAAGAAGTCACAATGGTTTTTGGAGCTCATATGTCTATATCATGCAATCCGTTTGACCATTCACCGCAATTATAGTTTCTTACAGGTCACTCACAAAAGGATAACACAAAAACCCACTCCTACAAGGTTGTCCTTCTAACATCGCAGCGCACCTTCTTTTTAACATGGTGGGTAAACGGGGGTGGTAACTTAAAGCTTTGTGGGGACAGACCTGCCTTAACATACATGATGCCCCATTGAACAAAGTCCTATTCCGCAACTCTTCATTCTTCTGAAACTTTTATTCCGCAACTATTTGGTACTCTTCCGCAACTACTCTTCAGAAATTATTCTTCAGAAACTATGTTGCGCTCTTCAGAAACTATGTTGCGATCTTCAGAAACTATTTTGCGATCTTCAGAACTATTTCACGATCTTAAGAAACTATTTGGCGATCTTCAGAAGCTAATGGCGATCTTCAGAAACTATTTGGCGATCTTCAGGAACTATTTCACGATTCTTCAGAAACTATATTTCGCGATCTTCAGAAACTATTTTATTTGGCGATCTTCAGAAACTATTTCGCGACCCTTTACAATTTTGCACCTTGTGATGGCTACGGTATATACATGCCTTGCGATTTGCAGAAACTTGTTCATGTAATTTGATGTTGCTCTTCGACTCTTCGACTCTTCGTAGTTTCTGAACATTACGTAGTTTCTGAAGAAAACCGTAAAGTTTCCGAAGAGTAGTTTCGAAGAAAACCTTCAATGTCCGAAGATCACCTTTGAGTTGCCGAAGATTAGTTTCCACTGAAAAGTTTCGGAAGAAAACCGCAAAGTTTCCGAAGAAAACCGTTTAGTTTCCGAAGGATAGTTTCCGAAGAAAGCCAAGTTTCCGAAGATCACCTTTTAGTTTCCGAATAAAACTTTGACCATGCCCCATTGGGCTCTAGGAAGGCCTGACCCCCCGATCGCCCACGCACGACACCCTCTCCCATGCACAGGGCGGGTTGGGTGGGACAAAACACCCACACAGGTGTCACTGGAGTACCACAACTCCACCTAACAGACACGACCCAGGGGTCTTCACTCACTGACGAACTTAAAACAAAGCATCAAGGAGTGAACATGTTCGTGACCGGTCGCCACTCCCTACTGCAAGAAACTATAAACTGCTATTAAGTTCCTCAACGGATCCATTTCCTTTTGCAAGTTGGCAAATCAATCCCCGATGCTTAGCACATGCTTTCGCCCTCCGAGATTCGCGAACTTGGCATGAAGAATGTCCAGATTCGGAATGGTCAACGTCATTACCATCATATATACACAGCTTGGCCTGCCAGGCCTTTGTGCCGGAGACAGATGCCTCTTTGCTGATGGAGCAAGGTGTGGCAAACCAGACACATTTGGTCATGGGTTGTTCATGTCTCCTGACTCCAGTTGTAAGCTTGAAATACACGCTCAAATCGAATCTCCTAAATGAAAACGTTCAATGGGCCAGCAACGGTCAAATCCAAGCACAAAACAGGAGCAATTGTCTCTGAAAGTCATCAGCACGAAGCGTTCATTAAGATTCATAAAGCACAAAAGCGAACCAAACCAGCATGCTTTCTACCACGCTATCCTTCTCCAGATGTCATGAGGTGCCCCTTTGGATTCTCGCGACCCAATCTTTGTTTGCACCAGACCTCGCATATGTTTTTTTGAAAAGCAATATTTTCCCGGCTGCTTTTTCACCCTACTGTGAGCAACCAGCTTACAGTAGGAAGTAACAGAAGCGTAGCTCAGCCTGCGAACTTTTCAGAACCAGCACAATGTTCGGCTATGTGACATGTGTTGGCCACTATGCAAATGAGATCTAATAAGTACAGCGAGTTCAGAGTGTATAGATGGCAACATGTTTTGCGACGGATTTGTGAATCACTTGCTTTTGCCTCTTTTGTCTGAGTATGGGGTACAGTGGTTGCAGCGCTTCAGGCGAGATGAGGCGCTTGAACAAGACAGCCACGGACAAACCTTCAAAGAGTAGAAAGAGTAAGAACAAGCGGCAAGGGGAAGTACCAGCGATATGCCAGTTTGAATGATTCCTTCATATCATTGATTGCGACGCATCAAGAGCACTATATGGCTTTAATGTTAGAGAGGTACTAGCAAGTCCTGAAGTGTCGCATTGCTGAACAGCCACAAATTTCAATCATGTTGCGATCTTTTGTGGACATCATTCCTCTCCAAGAGGCACATTGAGTGAGGTTGGTTTGAGAGAGATAATATGCAAACAGGTGCAAGCAATCTCAGCACTGCGGAGGTGTACCCATAGCAAGTTTGCAGAATGTTGGCGTGTGTTTGTGTGTATGACGGTGACGTGGATTTGGAATCTGGATAGTTCTGGCTCACCATGCAGGGCATCAGCAAGCGCAAGTGCAGCTGCTGAATAGTCTGCTGAATATGTGTTTACTCTTCTTGCAACAGATAGGGTGATGAAGGGCGCATTGGACGCACATCCTTGGCTTTGGCAGACCAGTTTCTGTGATCAAGCAACATGGAGCATAATTGCTCACATAGAGGATCATAGAGGCATGTGAATGTACAGCCCGTTTGCCGCTCTCGTTGGCAGAATGTCAAGCGGCATGAGGCATGAACAGCTGCACAAAAAGCAGCTAGAGAATATGTAACGCGTAATTTGCGCAATTCGAGGTGTTGTTTTTTAGACTCTGTGGAGGGTTGTCGACGCGACTTCTTTGATGAAGTGAATTAAATAGATTTGACCACAAAATGTGATGCCAGTGAGAACCCTCCACTGCTTCTGAGCACCGTGAAATAGAATTAGCTGCAAGTGTCACGCGGAGTTTTCCCGCAAATGTCAAAAGCCCGCAGTCCAACCAGCTCAATTACTGTAAAGAGAGTGATTTTGCGATTTGTCCTTCAGGTTGTGTTTGGAACTTATGAAAAATACGGGTTGGCTTGAGACAATTGGCCGCTGGAAGCTAGCTGGAAGACTTTGCCGATGTCGCTGGAAGCAAGAATGTAATTTGATGTCATTTGGACATTTGCCAATTCAAGGTAAGCAAAACTGTCGCTGGAACCTTCCCCACGCTTGTGGCAGACAATATTTGCTTCAGGATTTTGTGTGTTTGCAATGTTGGAAGCGGGGCTGTGCAAGTCAACAATTGCTGGAGATATGAGGTGAAGTTGGTTTAAGGACCTTAGGTGGCTACGGTGTATAACGATATTAAAAAGTTTATTTAATGATTTGGAATAAAGGATTCTAACATTTTCAATATTTATGAAGAAGATATTAAAAATTCAGAAGGGGGGGTAAAAATTATATTGAATGATTTTAATATTTACGAGAAAAGATTCGATAGGAATTATTAATTTGATGAGATTTAATTTTGGGAGCAAAAGATTTGACATTATGTATTATAAGGAAATTGAAAATAAAAGGAGATGATTTCGAACGATTATTTGAAAATGAATTAATTGATTAATTAAATTAGTTTTTTGTACATTTATTTTAAGAGTGTGGTAAATTAAATGGATTGTGAAATTGTTATGTTAATTAATTAATTAATTATGTGTTGGTTTTTGTTTGTGTATTATATTTTTTTTCCGTTGGATGATTTGGAAAAAAAAAATATGTGAAATATTTACGTTGAAATTGGATTTATTTTTATTCGGATTTATGAAATATTTATATATTTAATATTTGATTGAATTGATACTTATATGAATATAATATAGGTTGATTATTTTTTGTTTATTTATTTGTATATTAAATATATTATTAATTTATATTATATATGAATAAAGAGCTTTTAATAATTTTTTAAATTTAATAAAGATAGAAAATAATGAAAAATTAAAGATAGTAATAAAAGCTAGTCTAATATATACGGGAGCATTTTGAATTTCGATTATTAATTAATTATACATTTATTTTAAGTAATAATAACAAATAATTCTTTTACGGAATTATAAAATAAAAATACGATTACGAGAAGTATCGATATATTAAGAAGAATGATAAATTAGTCTTTTCGATACGCGATATTTATTTTTATAGCTAAATAATGAAAAAACCGTAGAAAACTAAAGTAATAAATTCTAAAAAATGTTGAAACAAATTATATTAAACCTTGAAATAATTTAAATT